TGCCCAACAGCAGTGGCAGGAGAATTGCACAAAGGAGTGACCCAAACCTTCCCGAGATAGGGCTGGTTTGCATCTCAAACAAAGAAGTACTAAATGCCAAGCTGATCCAGCTGCCCAAAGTATTTATCAGGGGAACCTACACCCAGGGTGCCTCGGCTCATTGCTGTGATGCACAGTGGGAGAAAAGGGTGCTCCTCCCAGGTGTGTCTGTAGCAAGGCTGCCAGAACGTGGAGTTTATATGAGGGTGTAGATGTTGAGGTTGATTTTGTTCTGAGAGGAGGAGCGTGGTGGGGGCAAGAGGCGCGGAGTCACCACACAGACCCCGGGAGTTGGGTGAAAGCGGGCCAGAGGCGAGCAGCCCGCAGACTTGTTTATTTCAGTTGGTACAGCAGCTTAAATAGCCAAGGCAGCCAATCCAGTCAAGGGGTGGTCTATGCCCTAACCAATCACAGCCTGTTGCCAGGCAGTAACCGAAGCCATCCAATCACAGCCTGTTGCCAGGCAGGCTCCGTTGCCAGGTAGTTTTCAAAGCCATTCCTGAGTAACTGACGCTTGCTTGCGAGCGGCCATCTTGGCATGGCCTTCTCATTCCACCACATTTCCCACTTTTCCTTTATTTTTGAGCAACAGGAGGCATGATTCTTGGCCATACCGTTGTTGACCCCGTTTCCATGTGGTCTCCATACGTGGCTTTGCCTGTCTTAGGTTGTCCCCCAGGGGATCTTACCCGTCGTTGACTAACCAGTGCTCAAAACAGGGTTGCTCAGATAGGGGTAGGAATGAGAAACAATGGTAATCAGGAATGGCATGACCACACACAGGATGTGGGCCATTTGAGTGCCTGACCAGAGCTAAGTAGGGTATAAAGCAGTAGTGGATGTGGCTGTGGGCAATTTCTCAGGGTAGGACGATAGGACAGGTGCATCTAACATGGCAGTCTCTCTCAGTCTTGTTCAGCTGGTTCTGGTTGGCTGTCAGTTGCAGGCTTGATGTTTCTGGCTGGTACCCAAATGGGCTGTCCTGCATTCTCTGGAAAGACACAAGCATATCCTCGACCCTTGGTTAGCAGAAGCCTTTTAACGGGCGTTGGAATCCAGGGCCTGAATTTTGTGTCCATTTCGACATTAATGGCAAACATGTGGGTGGGATGGGATCTAGCGGCTGCCCTGAGAGCCTGGGGTGCCCGAGGACTGCCACAAACATGGGGATCCTCACTGGGTGCGGATGGGATCACCTCGCATGGGTTATTGCCAGGAGGTCGGCTAAGTTCATCCCAAGGGTATTTGGTGGGTGGCTGACTAGGCATTGCTACATTGTTTGCTGCATTGTTTGCTGTCATGTCATTTTCAGGGTTGGAGCTCTCTCTCCCTAAGTCATCAATTCCACCACATGTAAGGGCCTGGGCCAGTTTCTTCTAGTGTTTTTGGACAACAGCAGAAACATCCTTGGCAATGTCCAGGAATGTTCCAGGCCCCTGGCTCGGACTCAAGCCTGCCAGGAAAAGTCTTCACCTGGCTGAGTGAGAGTGGCCACGGTGTTCCGTGATTTTTGGTGACAGACACAGCAAGGGAGATCTGGGGGTTCTACAGTTACCCGTGTCAACCTGTAGCTGGAATCCACTCAGGGAAGAAGGACGTTAGTGGGCTGGGCAGCTAAAATGAATTGACTGCTGTCTGCCCAGAGCCGTTCCACTCCTTCAGTAAAGAAATCTGACCCGTGTTTGGAAAAGTGCCCGATCTACGAGGCGCAGGTGGCGCTGTCCGCCCCAGAGCCACAGCCAGTGCAGGCCACAGGCAGGGGCTGGAGAACACATGGTGCATCAGCCTGAGCCTGCCAAGGGGGGAACTTGAACCTGGAGTGGACTGCCGGTCTGCTCTTGGCTTTGATCTCAGTCTTGTCACACACTTGACCCTGGTTCAGGGCTGTGAGCCTGAACTGAGATGTCTGTGTTTGTGACTTAACACAGGAGAGGTGCTGGAGGAATATGGGAGGGTTTCTGGCCCCGAAAGGCAGGAAGGCTTCCAGCCTGGGGGAGGGGAGGCTGCGTGGGTACAACCAAGTTCTGCCAAGCCACCCAAGACGTCAGACCTGGCTGCTGGCACTTCTCCGTGACTGCCGGCCTGTCCTCCCTCCTCTCTGCACAGCCGCTTTCTCAGTCTCTGCATCAGCATTCAGAAAACCGCCTTCCAGGGCTTCCCTGGCCCCAAGTTTCAGGTGAACTTGAAGGAGGTCTGTTGCATGCAAGACTGTGTCCCAGGAGAGGCACCTTGGTCAGATGTCTGCCCCTTGTCCAGTCCACGCCGGTGGGGAGTGCAGACGGCTCATTTAGCATGAGCTCAGATGCACAGATGGCTGCAAGAGGCTTGCCCTGTGCATCTGGGGCAGATTTTGAAGAAGGCAGATGGGGTTCCCTAGCCACTGGGCCTTTGTGCCGCTCAGCAGGTGCATGATACCACCCACCCCAGGGAGAACCGTGCTCTTTCCTTTTGAGGCACAGTAACTGCACGACCTAGAGTAAGACACTCGAATCTCAACAGAATGGCTAGATGGGTTCTTATAGAAGTTATCAGTTCTCCAGATCAAGATTCAGAACATCACCAGCATTCTAGAAGGCTCCCTCCTGCACCTCTTTGCCAGTATCCCTCCCGGGGGTAACCACCCCCCAGACTCCATCACCTGTGCTAGTTTTTTTTTTTTTTTAAGATTTTATTTATGTATCTGAGAGGTAGAGTTACAGACAGAGAGGGGGAGAGACAGAGAGAAAGGTCTTGCATCCTCTGGTTCAATCCCCAGATGGCTGCAATGGCTGGAGCTGAGCCTTCCTGAAACCAGGAGCCAGGAACTTCTTCCAGGTCTCCCACATGGGTGCAGGGACCAGGCACTTGGGCCATCTTCTACTGCTTTCCCAGGCCATAGCAGAGAGCTGGATCAGAAGAGGAGCAGCCGGGACTTGAACTGGAGCCCATATGGGATGGGTGCTGCAGGCAGAGGCTTAGCCCACTACACCCCACTACAGTGCTGGCCCCATCTGTGTTAGTTTTGCTCTGTCTTGAGCTTCATGTAAATGGAGTCACAGCCTGTGTTCAACTCAGATGGTTGCATGCTAGAATCAAGCCCTGGCGCTCTCTCGCTCTCTCTCTCTCTCTCTTTTAAGGGAAAGAATCCAGAGCAAATCTCTCTTTAGTTTGGGAAAGGGGTGGTTACACCTTATCAGGTTTTGAAGCAACAAGTACTTAATTCTTGCTTATATCTTGCAATTATGTAGACCTGTCCATTTTTGCTGCACACTTTGCAGGGAAGAAAACCACAGTCTTTCTCCTCTGGGAAGCTGGATAGGACTGATGCATGATCAAGGCGCCACTCACAGGTGGGAACAGCCTTCCCCTGCTGCTTGTCTTGACTGTGAGAAGGGGCAGTGATGGCCCTCTATGCAGCTCACCTCCCAGGAGGGGCAGCAGGTCCAGGAAAGAGAATGAGGGAGTAGAAGGAGCTCAGAGGGGAAATGATTGCAAACACTGAGTTCCCTAAGAGAGAGAAGGGTGTTCCTGTACCTATGGTATTTCTGCAGGTCTGGAACCAGATGGGTCTCTTGCATTCTGACAATCTCCAGCTGTTCCTTCCTATTCCACACTCTGGGGAAGTGAGGGTGAGGAGCTGGGGGTGTGATCACGTGGCTAAGCACCTACTTCGTGCAGGCACTGCCACGGGGTCCCACACATGTGGTCTCACTCAATTATAACCTTACAAAGCAGAAGCTTTCATCCCCCCCGCCCCGAAGAAGATAAGGAAACTGGGGCTCCAGGAGCTTACAAGGCTTAAATAACTTGTCCAAGGCCCTGGAGAGACTGAGTGCCAAGTGTGGAAGACAGGTTGCTCTGGATCAAAGCTGAATTCAAGGCAACCCCTCTGGGGCCTCAGCGTGGGGCTATCTTGCACCACCTGGGCTAGGAGAGGAGGAACGGGGGGCCTCTGGCTGCCAGGACCAATGCTTCAGCGAAAGCTGCTCTGTTCCCACGCCTAAACACACTCAGACACCTGCGCCCTTCCCAGCCTTCAGCCCCTGGTGCCCCCGAGGCTCACGAGACCTCACTCTCAGCCTGTTCCTGCCCACACGTGGCCTTGGGTGGGGACTTGGGGAGTGGAAGCTTAGCTGAAGGGATGAGGCTTGATGCTGGAATTTCTGGTATTAAGTGAGGCAGGAAGGAAAGGGGAGAGAAGTTCCAAGAAGGCCCTTCTAAGGCCCCCAAATCACTCGTGCAGGTAGCAACAGGTGCACCAGAGCGAGAACACACACACCCTGGCCACGGGTTGCAGAGCTGCGCAGCCCCAGGACCCGGGCCTGCCCTAGAATCCCCCAAGGGGGCTGCAGAGAAGGCTGGGGGAGGCTGGACTCCTCACCTGGGTGTGCATGGGGGCAAAGGCAGGGCTCGCACCAGCGTGAGGCAAGAGAGGTGCTAGGACACGAAATGTAAGGGGGCCTTGGCACCTTGTCTTACCCCAGTCTCTGCCCTGCCTAGCACAGCACTGGGGCAGCTAGAAGTTACCCCATGCTTACGTGGACCGGTCCATCTTCCAAACACTATAGATACGCAATACTGAATAGAAACAGAATTTTACAGTTATCTATGTATAACATTCACAGTGCAAATACATGCATGCTAATTCTGCCCTCACAGCTCCTGAAAGTCTCTTTAGCTGAGTAACAAGGAGACTGAGAGCCTGACAGGTAGACGATTTGCCCGGCTAATAACTCTCATAGCTAACAACAGGCAGAAGTGTCCAGGGTTCACGCGCTCAGCAATCACACATGCACGCACATGCCACCAGGGGTCGGACTGGGACCTTATCAGGACCAGAGCAGATTAGCCACAGCTGTGTCTCTGCTCACGGAGGGCCCTATGGGATGCAGAAGGTGAGTCACATGGGGGCAGGGCCCCTTTTAAGGCCCCAACACCCCAGCTGGCAAGGTCTTCGGCCATCTGACCTGCCAGCTGCGGCTCACACGCGCTGTCCCACTCACCATGGAGAAGGTCCTTGTCCTGCTGCTTGTGGCCCTCGCGGTGGCCTACGCAGCTCCTGGCCCCCGGGGAATCATTATCAACCTGGTAAGAGGGTCTTTAGGGGAGGAGCCATCTCGGTCCCCAGGTAAGGAATTTGCAAGCTCGGGAAGTCGAGGGGTTTAAAAAGCTCCGCCAATGGCCCCAGCTGCTGGCCTGCAGGGGCACCTATACTGCGCGCCAGACACAGCTCTCGGTGCCCGGGAGGGTGGATTCATCTGATCTTCCAAGTGCCATAGACACAGTGATCACCAACCCGTCCTGGACAGCGCCAGGAGGTCAAGCAGCCTGCCTGGAGCCACACAGCTGGGACCGGAACCCAGGCCAGCAAGCTCCAGATCCTGCCCTTCCCAGGGCCCTAGCCACGGAGGTCAAGGTCACAGAGAGAGAAGCCCTTCGGGGTCACCCACCGGGTCCAAAGGTTCTTGACGTCCGAGCTTGGAGGGCCCAGGACCCCCTGAGTTCCATATGCAAGGCTGTGGGGGTGGGAGGGGATCCTCAGGTTTCCCCAATTCCTCAAGGACTGTGGGTCCCCTAGAGGTCCCCACGCATGTTTGCGAGAGGCACTAAGGCCTCGGGGCAGTGGCTTACGCGGAGTCAACAGTTGGTAGTGCAGCTGCTACTGAAACTGCCGGGTGCCCCTCCCAGCCTGGGGCTGCTCCTCTGCCCCTGGGTCACACTGCTGGGAACACTGGCCGCGGGGGGCGGGGGTCCTGGGCTGACTGCCGCCTGCCCCGCAGGAGGAGGGTGAGCTCTGCTTGAACAGCGCCCAGTGCAAGAGCGGCTGCTGCCACCACTCGAGCGCTCTGAGTCTGGCCCGCTGCGCACCCAAGGCCAGCGAGAACAGCGAGTGTTCGCCCCAGGTGGGTACCGGGAGGCTGGGAGGCACGCGGTGGCGGGGAGGGGGAGGGGCACTCCCCACCAAGGATGACGGCCCTGGAGGCCTGGGGTCAGGATCAGGGAGGACAGCCCACCTGGACCCTGGATGTTGAGGGGACAAAGGGCGGGACTGTCCACAGGCGTCACAGCCCTGTCCCATCCCATCATCTCCCCTCACTCTCACAGCTGGCAGGTGAGATGGGAGGGGCAGGGCTTTGCTATCCCCATTTCATGGGTGGGCAGAGAGAGGCACCCCAGAGAGACCACATTAGTAAGGGCACCTGAGCCACAGAGAGGAGACCAGAACCACACTGCCCCTCAAGAGAGGAGGCCAGGAGAAGCAGTGCTGAGGAGCCCAGCAGCTGGGGGGAGGTGAGCCGGGTGGGGTGGGGTGGGGCAGGCAGACGACCCAGCCCTGACTCGGGGCTCCATCTGCGCCTGCGCAGACCATCTACGGCGTCTACTACAAGTGTCCCTGTGAGCGCGGCCTGACCTGCGAGGCAGACAAGTCCATCGTGGGCTCCATCACCAACACCAACTTTGGCGTCTGCCTTGACGTTTGACCTCCAGAGACCAAGCCCCTCCCGACCCCAGAGGCCCCCTGCACCTAGCCAGGGCACCTTGGCTTACGTCTGGCCACCTCCCTAACCAGCACCTCCAAGACCAAATCGAGCTGCTGGCGATTAAAGCCCTCGTGCAAACCCTCCAGCCTCCTGTAGTTCTTGTGAGCCAGTGTCTTCCTTCTTGCTCCACCACACCTTGCCCGCCTGGGCAGGCCACATGGGAATGACGGACGCACCTGGGCCAGAGGATGTGGCCAAACAGGTGGGAGACCGGAGACAAGGTTGCCGGGTAGGCCAGGCAGGGCTGGGAGCCTCTCCAGTTCTGGGGAGCAGTCCCTCTCCCTGAGATGCCCCCTGGCCCTAAGAGTTCTCAGGAAGATAAGCAGGTGTGCACACGCACACACACCTGTCTGTCGTCATGGAGTTATAATGGCCATGGTCATCATGTGCGTGAGAACTTACCAGGGCCCTGCCCTGGATCTCTTTGCTGGGCCCAGCTGTCAGGTATGATGGAGAGATGACACAGTCTAAGAGTTACAGGGTTGTACCACTCACAATTGCTGTGGGTTTACTCACTCAGCAGGTAGCCTCACAATGATCCCAGGAGGGAGGATTTACCATGTCAACTTTATAGATAAAGACTCTAAGTTTCAGAGAGGGTAGGGAATCTGCTTATGCCATATAATTAGAAAAAGTCTGGGGTGGCACTGTGGCACAGTGGGCTAAACCTCCGCCTGTGCCACCTGCATCCCATATGGGCATCAACTTGAGTCCCGGCTGCTCCACTTGTGGTCCAGCTCCCTGCTAAAGCAGTAGAAAGTGGCCCAAGTGCTTGGTCCCCTGCCACCCATGTGGGAGACCCAGCTGGAGTTCAAGGCTCCGGGCTTCAGCCTGCCCTAGTCCTGGCCATTGTGGCCATTTGGGGAGTGAACCAGCAGATGGAAGATCTCTCTTTCTTTCTGTCTCTCTATGTCTCTCTGTGTCTCTCTAACTTTCCCTTTCAAATAAATAAATCTTAAAAAAATAAAAAGTTGGTACTATAGCCATCCAACTCCATCTCCTGTACCTCACATGATTCTGTTCTTTCCCAATTATTCACACGAGGAAAAGTGGGTGGAAATTAAATTGACGTTAATTTGGGCTTATGCAGAATTTGTATACCTCCAGTGGCGTCAAGCATGAGTTACCTTAGGCAGTACTGAGGTCCTCGTCATCATGGTGTGCAAGCAGAAGCCTGCTGACCCCTCGGGGGGGGGGGTGCTGGGGCAGAGATCACACAGGAGTGGGGCTAGTGGATTGAATGAAGCCTGTATGCCTTCCCACTCAGGATTCGTTAGTTTTTTCCTTTTTTAAAAATATTTAATTAATTTATTTGAAAGGCAGAGTTACAGAGGGAGAGACATAAAGAGAAGTCTTCCATCTACTGGTTCACTCCCCAATTGGCCACAACAGCCAGGGCTGGGCCAGGCCAAAGCCAGGAGCCAGGAACTCCATCTGGGTCTCCCGTATGGGTGCTGGGGCCCAAGCACTTGGGCCACCTTCTACTGCTTTCCCAGGTGCATTAGCAGGGAGCTGGATGGGAAGTGAAGCAGCCAGGACATGAACTGGCGCCCATATAGGATGCGGCGTCTCAGGCGACAGCTGCACCCGCTACGCCACACAGCAGCCCGAGATTCCATAGTTCTGTGAGCAGTGAGTCAACCGAGTAACCATGGGTTTATGAGTTAGGACTGCAGTCAGCGGTACGGAGCAGAAAACCCAAGGAATCACAACTTAAACAAATAGGGCCGTGTATTTCTCATGAATCATGATGTCCACAGCTAGGAAGCGCTGGCGGTTGGGTTCTGCAGTATGTCTGGCCTCAGCAGCATGTCCCACGTAGCCTGTCTTCCCACCGCGTCCTAAGGAAGCCTGCAGTGGGCAGTGGCTGGGACAGGGAGGGCAGGAGGAGGGGGAGCAGAGCGGTCCTCCCTGCAGGTCTTCCTCTTTTCCCAAAACCCCCAGGCACACCTCTCTCCAGATCTCAGTGGCTAGATCTGGGTCACCTCCCCACTGCCAGCCACCAGGGAGGCTGGGAAAGCCAGGGAATGGGATGGCACGCTGGCTGAGACTGACCACGACCCCGTCTAGTGGCTGGGCATGCTGCCGCCCAAACACCATTGGGGTTTAGCTGGCAAGGGAGGGGCAGTGGCTGTTGGGACAGCAGGTGGCGGTGTCCACCACCCAGGATGGCCTCCACTGCCTCGACCTAGCAAAGCTCTCGGGCTCTGAGGCGAGGATGGGTCATACAAGAGTGCTTCAAAAAAAGCTGTGGGGCCGGCACTGTGGCGCAGTGGGCTAAGCCTCCGCCTGCGGCACCAGCATCCCATATGGGCACTGGTTCGTGTCCCGGCTGCTCCTCTTCTGTTCCAGCTCCCTGCTAATGGCCTGGGAAAGCAGCAGAGGAGGGTCCAAGTGCTAGGGCCCCTGCATCCATGTAGGAGCCCCAGAAAAAGCTCTTGATTCCCGGCTTCAGGTCAGCTGAGCTCCGGCCATTCTGGGCATTTGGGGAGTGAACCAGCAGATGGAAGATCTCTGTTTCTCCCTTGCTGTCTCTGTAACTCTGCCTCTCAAATAAATAAATAAATCTTTAAAAAATAAAAGGACTGCCCATGAGCCAGCAATCCCTCTTCCGGGTACGTACACAGAAGAATGTAGCCAGGTAAGAGTGAACCAGAGGTTGGACTCTCTCTCTCTCTCTCTCTCTCCCTCTCTCTCTCTCTCTCCTTCCCTTTGTCTCTGTTACTCTGACTTTCAAATAAGTAAATGAATTTTTAAAAAGCCATCCCCACAAGTCTAAGTTGACATCTCCCTGTGGTTTCGATTTGCATTTCCCCAATGATTAGTGGTGTTGGGCTCCTTTCATTAGTGATGTTGACCACTTTCATGTCTCTTTTGGAGAAATGTCTTTTGCCCATTTTTAAATCTGGTTATTCCTTTTTTTTTCTGTTGTGTTGTGTGAGTTCCTCATATATTTTAGATGCAATCCCCCAAACAGATACCCAGTTTGCAGCGGCAGGCACCGACCTCTCTTTCCTTGGCTCTTCTTTCCTTCTCATCCCTTCCTGCTCTTCCCGCCCGGCCAGAATAGTCAGACTCATCGCTCCCGAGTGGTGGGATCTGGAGCAAGCTGCTCCATCTCTCAGCTTCCCCCTGAAAACCGAGACCACAACGGCTGCCCTCACAGGGCCGCTGCGGAGTAAATGCGATTGTGTGTGTGTGTGTGTGTACAGAATGGAGTACAAGGGATCATGTGTGTGTGTGTGTGTGTGTGTGTGTAATGAAGAATGCCCCGGCATCTCCAAGTGCCCGGTAAACAGCAGCTGTTCTCTAGGTTTATGATCTTCTTGCACATTTCTGAAATTTATGGTCAGGGAAACCGAGAGATTGGGTGTAAACCCGGCTTTCAGAGGTGGCGGATGGAGCGAGAGGGACCCAGAGATGGGTTTGGACCCCATCCTCCTCTGGGGCACTTTCACTCATGCCCAACAGGGGAAAGACCCCGAGCCCAACGGTGCTGTCCCTCTTGCATCTTCCCTCCACCTTCCAGCCGCAGCCCCCTCCCCGCCCCCACCCCCGCTCCCCCAGCAGCCTGTACCATGCCCAGCCCAGCCCCAGGCCCCAGCTCTGCGGGCAGCAAACGTTGAGAACTCTTTATTTCAATGACAGCACCATCCCTCCCCGTTGGCAGAGATCCTGGGGGCCAGGGACGGGAACCCGCAATTCTGGGTGGGCCATTAGAAGAACCCTTTCTTAGTCTGCTTCTTTTTTGCCATCTTCTGACAACGGCCGTAGATGATGTGAAAGGATTTCTGATTCTTCGGAAACACGCAAGTCAGGTTGAGCTGGCAGGGACACTCGTTATAGAGGCCTGAGAACATCTGGGCAAACACAGCACTTTGACCTTCACCTTGACCTTGCCAGCTGCTCTCCCCTCAGCCCTAGGGGCAGCACCTGTGTCCACCTTAGCCCAGTTCCTGGGCCCATCTGTTAGCCCGCAGCTTTGGGATAAAGGGCTCCGACTATCCCTTGCCCAGCTGCTGGGAGCGGACACTCTGGCCCTGCTCAACTCCCCAGGCTGACCCCTAGCACGGCTCAGGGCACTGCCAGCTCCCTCCCTCTACCCAACCTGCTGTGTTCCCAAGTTGATGAGCTACTTCCAAAGGAGCACCAGCTCCCCTCTGCACACCCAGCTCAGAGCTCAGAACTGGCAGGTGGCCCTGATGCATCTGCAGGCGGGACCACCTGGGGCCACGCAGCGCTCCAGGGCCGGGTTGAGGGGGTCGAGGCTGCCACAGGGCCAGAGGCACCCATTTACTGAGCGGCCAGGACACCTCCTAGAGGACGGGAACCCACTAGGAGAAGGGGCACACCGCTCCCCGGCCGGCCGGCCGTGCAGTCAGAGCCGGGCGGCCGCACAGAACGCTCCCGGCTCCGGATCCCGCTGCCTGCCCGCCCTTCCTGCCCGGGTCCCCGCAGAGGCCACCACCCACCTGCGTGTGGCACAGGTGGCCCTCGGACCCCCTCCTGCTGCAGTACGACTCGCAGATTTCGGGCGCCCGGCGGCAGCACCCGCTCTTGCACCTGCTGCTCTGGATGCAGATCTCATTGATGTTCTGGAGGGAGACCGCAAGGCCGGGTTCCACCGCCAACCCGCACGCCCGCGCCCGCACCCGCGCCCCCACGCCCCACCCCCAGTCCCGCTGGCCTCGGCTGCCTCTAGCTGGGGACCTGGCGGCGTCGGTACGGATGGGGAAGAGCACTAGCCATGTCTCAGAGGTTAATCCTCCGAGTCTCCGAGAGAGAGAGAGTCCTTCTGGCACGCCCAGGGCACTCACACTGTTCTTGCTGCTGCAGAAATTGGTCTTGTCTCCCGTAAAGCCCTGCGCACCCACCGCAACGCAGAAGGCCCCGCTCGTGTCCCTGTCACCCAGCCAGCACGCACCGCCACCTATTGTGTGGCAGGCGCTGTTCCAGGCACGGAGGTGCAGGTGGGAACAAAGAGGGCGCTGGCGGGAGCTGCCTGTGCAGGGCCAGTGACAGACAACCCCGGGGCCAGGGACGGCCTTCCCTGCTAGGATCATCCGGACCCCACCTGCCGCTGGGGAGCTGAATTTTAAGCGCTGTTGGAGTTTAATTCATTTCAACGTAAGCCACTGCACTTGGCTAGTGCCTGTGCTGTTAGACAAGCCTAGCTCTAGGGAGAGGAGAGGGAGACATGGACAAAAAGTTGAGCAGAAGAAACGAGATTCAAGAAAGACGAACTGTGAGATTCCACTCTATGAACTTGAGAGTCACAGTCCAGAGGGGGCCAGGAGAGTGTCACCTTGGGGACAGCCTGGGTGGGGTGGGGGGCTTCTGGAAACACGCTGTGGCTTGTTCTGGTGCTGGTTATGAGGCTGTTTGCATCAAGCCAGTGATTTCCACCAGGACTCGAGATGTGGGCGCTTTAGGTAATTTTTACCTATTATATGTACGGTATTATTCAGGCCAATTCTTCATACTATTTATGTCTATTACACAAGATTATAAAGAAAATAAAGGCGGACTGGATTGGCGATGGCCTGCCCCGGCCCCCTTGCCTCCACCCTGGCCAGGACTACCGCCAGCCCCCTCACCTCCCCACTGTCACCTCACCCCCACCCCTTCCTATCAGAACTTTTAGAAAGGTAGTTCCCACAATGTCATTCCCCAGCTGCAGAGCCTTGAACTGACAGCTCACCCGGGCCAGGGCATGTGCACCTGGCTGTCTGACCAGAACTCCCTGCCCCCTCCTTCTGCCTCAGGCTGAAGCCTTCCTGAGCGCCAGCGAGAGGCGTGCCCAGGAGCTGCTTCCTCCTGGCTCTGCAGTTCCCTTCTCTGTTGTCTGTAATTGTCTCTCCCACCCTGCTGCAGCCTCGCTTCTGGGAACCCAAGGATCTCTCCGCTCTCCTTGACAGCTGCTATTCACGGCCCTGGGGCTGAAGTCCTCGCGTGTCGTAGGTGCTGCACGCAGAAGGGCAGAGCACACGAGGACCCCGTCTCCTGGCATTGCCATTCCCCTCCGCCCCTCCTGGGACCTTTCCTGGGTACCCTGGAGCACCCTGATGGAACCTGCGGCCTCTCCTCCCACCTCCATGCCGGTAGCCCCTCCCTAGCTTCATTTGGCATCACCTGGGCTCCATTATATATTGTATTTCTGGGACTCACAGGGTGGAGTGACAGCTCTACAGGGGCCCTTGACAAACAGCATAGAGATAGGTGTGGGATGAGTGCACGTCCGCCTCCCTTCCCACATGTGAGCCCCGCACAGGGGCCACCACGCGTTCCCTCCCCTGCGGCAGCCCCTGCCGCGGCCCCAGCACAGCCCCGGGGACCTGGAGGTCGGAGAGGTTTTCTTTCTCTTCCGCTCAACACTCTCCGTTGCCTCCACTTCCGGCTTTCTCCCCCACCAGCCTCCCTGCCCACCCGCCCTCCCCTGCGAGGGCAGGCCTGAGGGCAGTGGTGCGGGGTGTGTGTGTGTGTGTGTGTGTGTGACCGCAGCCTCCACGTTCCTTACCAAATCGCTGTGTGTTGACTTCCAAAATGAGCCCCTGGTGAGGAGGAAGAAAAGGCAGAGGAGGAGGAGCTGCAACAGCCGCAGACACATCGTGGCAGGCCCAGAGGTGGTGGTGGCTTTTCCAAGGTACAGCTAAGCACCTGCACCTGCCAAGTGACCAAGCCCTGGGGGGAGGTAATGAGGTGTTACAGGGGAAGCAGGAAGTCCCCACTCCCAGCCCAAAGAAAGGAGGAGCCAAGCAGTGCCTGTGACACGGGCGCCGCCACGTCCCAGACCATTGCCGTGCCCACTCTGTGCACCTGGGCTCTGGCCCCAGTGAGATCTGGATTCAGGGCTGGGTGGGTGGCCAAGGTCAGAATTGCAGCATGGGTGTCTGCATCCCATACTGGGGTACCTGGGTTCAGGCGCTGGCTCTGTTTCTAATCCCAGCTTCCTGCTAATGCACACCCTGGGAGGTGCCCATTGATGGCTCAAGTAGTTGGGTCCCTGCCACCCACATGGGAGACCCAGATTGTGTTCCTGGCTCCTGGCTTTGGTTTGGTCCAGCCTGCCTGGTGCAGGTATTTTGGGAAAGAGCCAGTGGATGGAAGATCTCTCTCTCTCTCTCTCTCTCTCTCTCTCTCTCTCATATATATATATATATATATATCTGTCTGCCTTTTCCACAAAAATAAATAAATATTTTTTTTTTAAAAGGATCTGGGTTCCAATTACTGGTTGTATGATCTTCAGCAGACTTCTTAACTTCTTTGAGCTGTTTGTTTCCCTGTCTACAAAACAAAGGATGATAAGAGTACGTCACAGGGACGCTCATTCTAGAAAAACTTGGTTACAAAAGCCAGCCACTGAAGATGGAAGCGACTGTGAGACCGAAGACTGAAGACAGACAACAAATCCAAGACGACACAAAGTGTCTCCTTGGGGGACTTACTGACAGGAGCTTGACCTTGGGTTACCTTAGGGTCATCTTAATGAACACAAGAAGATGGCGATGACATCCAAGATGGCGGCAGTCACGTCAAGAGTTAGAATTTCAGAACCCCTCTGTGTGCCTGCATGCATTTCTGTGTGACAAGGCCAGGCTGCACAAGCAGCCAGCGGGCAATGCGGCCAGAGAATCAGGGCAAAGTGACTGAGCCTTGGGAGGGACAAGGGGCGGTACTGCGGCGGAGAGAACAGCAAGAGGCATTTTTATACACATTAATCAGGGCAAGCTAGGTAACGCTATGGTAGCAAAACACCCAGGAATTACCGGGGCTGAACACGACCTAAGTGGATTTCTTGCTCGTGTCACATATGTCGTGAGTCCAGGACAGCTGTCTTCTGCGCAGTAGGCGGGCCCAGTGGGAGCGCCTCAGGTCACTGGGGGTGTGCCCTCAGAGGCAGGTGCTGCGAGCGGGTTGGTCACCTGAGCTGGGCGTTCTTCCTCTGTTTGCTGGCTCCCCACGTGATCGCTCCTCTACACCTGCCGCGCCATGGCCGCCCCCCCTCCCCCAGATGCCAGGCTAACGGCACAGCCCAATCCTGAACTATGAACCTCCCAATTGAAGGCTAAAATAAGCCTGATTCTTCCCAAGAGTCCCCCTCAGGTCCCTTAAAGTGATGGGAAGCTGACTAACGCATGCAAGGGGGGGTGGTGGTGAGACTAAGGGACTGTGGCCAGCAAGTGGGGCCAGGAGGAGTCGCCACAGTGGGTGCGTGTGTGGTTTGGACTTCCCTCCAGTGCCGAGAGAGGGAGATGCGGTTGTCCTAGAGACGGAGCAAAGAGGGAGTGAGGAGGCGCTAAAGCAGCATTGGCCAAATGTCCAAACTGGAGTCGTCTTCCGCACTGCTTCATGCTTGCTTGTCGCTGCCCCGGCTCCGAGGTCCCACAGTCCCTGCCACCTGCCGGCAATTTCCACAAAGTGGAGGGAACAGAGCGGGACCCGGGGCTGGGGAGATTCACAGCGCAGCCTTCGCCTTGGGATGGGGGAAGGGACAGAAGCTGAAGGGTAGAGACTCCACCTTCGGCTTTCAGAGGGAGAGGCCGGGAGCCTGGGCAGAAACCAGGCTTAGCGGAGGAGGAAGGGCGGGTTACACGAGGGGGCCTGGAGCGCTTCCTCTGAGTGTCAAGAGTATTCCACGTCTAAGGAAGACGCTGCTGTTCGCTATGGAAAAACCACGCCTCTGGATCTGCATATTCATTCCCACCAAGCGGTGCACAAGCTGAAGCAGGCCTCCGCTCCTACAGAGAATCAGCCCGAGCTTCCTTGGTTGTGAATCACAGAAACTCAACCCGAAGAGGTTTAGAAGAAAATGAACTCACTGGCTTCTGTAACCTCAGAGTCCAGGGGGTAGAGCCAGCCGGCTGAAAGCACAGCGTGTTCCAAGGCTCAGAGGAAGGTGCCGGAACCTGGCTCCGCTCTCTCCTCTGTTGGCTTCAGTCTGAGTCCACATGGTGATAAGATGGCTGCCAGTAACCAGAGCCAATGTTCAGGTCCAGGAGAAAAGACAGCCTCACAATTGTGACTCTTGTACAAACCCTCTGACTGCACAAGCTGGTTTTCGTGTTCCTCCAAACCCACTGCCAAGGCCATGGCACCACAATGAGCCTCCTGGCTACCCCTTGAAGCAACCTGAGTCTGGAGGGTTCCGAGTTCTAGAGTGAACAGATCTCTACGGCGTGGACAGAGCTCTACTCAGCTTCATGGACGGAGAATGGGAGAGGGAATTCAGCGTACCAAGAGAAGGGGAGCAAACGGCCTTGGTCATGCAGGATCTTTGCCAATGGGAGTCTACAGAGGACTAACTTTTGCATCTAACTCAAAGCCATGCAAACCGTCATTGGCACAACTTGTTTGTGGTGTATTCGATCTTTACTGGTTTCCAAATGATAGAAGCCAAAGTACTATAAGATCGTCGGTGACTCACTACCAACTTCAGCTCTCTTCCTAATGCAGTAGTGTTTGGAATGAATTCTACCCACTTCGGTGGGCTTAGCTGTCTTGCCAGCACTTGCATGGTGATTCTATCAGTCAGTTTGCAGGCAGATACTCAGGGTGTTTGAAATCAACGGAATTTACCTTAGAGAAACAGTGAGGCATCTGGGAGCTCGGCAGCCACCGAAAATATCATCAGTGATGTGATGGGGGTGATGGGGGTGGGTGCAGGGCCACAGATCTGGGGCCCTCTTAAAGGAGCCCGATCCACGGGGGAGACAGCAGAAGGCTCCTGACATCACAGGGGAGGGAGGGGAAGGGAGGGGAGAACTCCTGGCCTCGCTCTTCCCCTCCTTCCAATCTTCAGGCAGACCCAGAAGCCAGAGAGCAAAGGAGGCTGGGAAACAGGTCCCAGGGATAATGGGCAGAGCAAGGGAGGCCCACAGGTCTCCTCCCCGCTGTCCCTCTCCCGCCCTCAGGTCTAGCGCAGTGCTCGCCTGGGAGGGGGACTGGCGGGGAGGAGAGCTACACCTGCCACAAACAGCCTGGGGGTGGCACAATTTCTGTGTTCTGGTTGGGGAGACACACTGGTCTGGGAAAGGGACTTTGTACTTGAACTTCTTAAACACTTTCCATCTTCATGAACATGTTGCCAATTTCACCTCCTGAAGAAAAGAAAGTGTTAAGGGTGTAGATACCCTAGGCCATTGCACTGTGGTTCTGACCGTGTCCAGCTGGACGTGCTGGGCAGCTGGGAGTCAAGTGCTCCACTCCCATGACTGCTTTCTGATGCCATGGCCATGGCAGAGAGTACACAGCCTTCTAAAGGTGCAGGTCAAGAAAGAGCCGCCCGACAGCACCGCTGGCTCTGTGTCCTTGCTTATTAGAATAATAACACAGGGGCAGATGTCGTGGCACAGGGAGCTAAGCTGCCACCTGCAACACCTCCCATCCTGTCCTGGAGCACAGCTTCAAGTCCTGGCTGCTCCGCTTCCAATCCAGCTGCCTGCTAATGTGCCTGGGAAGGCAACAGAAGATGAGCAAGTGCTTGGGTCCCTGCCAAACCTGTGGGGGACCTAGATAGAGTCCCTGGCTCCTGGATTCAGCCTGGCTCTGCCTTGACCATTTTGCCCATTTGGGGTGGGAGTTTGGCACAGGAGTTAAGACACTGCCTGCATCCCATATTCAAGTGCCTGGGTTTGAGTCCTGGCTCAGCTTCCAATTCCCAGCTTCCTGCTAATGTGCACCCTGAGGGGCAGCAGATGTTGGCTTGAACACTTGAGTCCCAGCAACCCACTGTAGGAAACTCCAGGGGGTGGAGCTCCTTGCCTCAGCCCAGCCCAGCCCAGCCCTGGCTGGTGGGGACATTTGGAGAGTGAAACTGCCGATGGAAGGTCTCTCTCTGTCCATTTCTCTGTCTTTCCGCCTTTCAAATAGAAAATTAAAAACAAGTAAATTTTAAAAAATAAATAAACCTCAGGGCTGGTGCTGTGGTGTGGCAGATACAGCTGCCGCCTGCGGTGCCCGCATCCCTTATGGGTGCTGGTTTGAGTCCGGGCTGCTCCACTTCTGATCCAGCTCTCTGCTGTGGCCTGGGAAAGCAATAGAAGATGGCCCAAGTCCTTGGGCCCCTGCACCTGCATGGGAGACCTGGAAAAAGCTCCTGGCTCCTGGCTTTGGATCAGTGCAGTTCCAGTCATTGCAGCCATCTGGGGAGTGAACCAGCGGATGGAAGACCTCTCTCTCTCTCTCTCTCTCTCTCTCTCTCACTCTCTCTCTCTCTCTTTTCCTCCCTCTGCCTCTCTGTAATTCTGCCTTTCAAATAAATAAATCTTTAAAAATAAATAAATAAATACTAAAAATAAGTAAACCTCTAAAAGCAGAACTTGTGAGTTCTAACTGGATTCGTGGATGTTCAATGAAAGCTGCCCTCCCCGTCTCCCTTGCAGCTAGCTGGAGCGACTGACGAGGTTTTGCTCAACAGGATGTGGCTGAAAAAGACTCAGAGGACTCCTTGCCCTGCCCCTGAGATGCCGGGTAGAAATTCACTGTCCATCTCCCTCTCCTCTCAGTGCAATGTGGACCTTGATCTTGGAGAGGAAGGAAAACAATTCCAGGGCAAAGCTTCCCAGCTCTCAGGACAGCCTCTGCAGGGACCCCAAGCCCAGATACAAGCAGCCCTCAACCTATGATGGTCCAGCTCACGAAGGTTCAACTCAACACTTCTCGACTTTATGACGGTGCAATGGGGAAGAAGCACAGCCTACAGCTATCTTGTTTTTCACTTTCGGGAGAATAATCAATTATGCGAGATATTCAGCACTTGATTATAAAACAGCTTCTGTGTTAGATGCTGCCTGCCCCGCTACAGGCTAACATAAGCCTTCTGAGTGCATTTAAGGCAGGTTAGGCTAACCTGTGGTGGTGTATCAAGTGCATTTTGGCCTTATGATATTTTCACCTTACGATGAGTTTCTTAGGATGTAGCCCATTATGCACTGAGCAGCACCGGTATCTTGTTCCCTGGGTACCAGGTTGTTGGAGAGATGGGTGGGGCAGTAGAGCAGCATCCATCTTTATCCATACAATGGGACCGGTACCAGATGAGTGAACAGAGAGCAACGTCACTGCACCACGTCTCTTCCTAGTACCAGCGTGCGTGTTTCTGCATCTTCTCCCAATCGCTCTCTCCACCATCCTCACCTTCAGCTCAACAAAACCTTCAGGTCCCCAGTCCCTGGCCACCACACACACGCCCGCAGGCGCCTCAACCTCCTGTGCTCGCCAGGTGCATCCCTCAGCCCCTCAGGTCCACACGGCCCTCCCCACCCCCACCCCCACCCCTTCCTGCAGCTCCACCCTCCTCCCCACCCCAGGACCTGCTTCCCTGTCTCCAGCCTCCCCTTCGGCCTGCTCCCAGATCGGACCCATCTGCCCCGGGGCCCCTTGCCCAGAAAGTGCAGACAAAGGCCAGAGCCAGCAAGTGAATTTAATGCATCAGGGACCGGATTTGGAGCAAGCTGGGGGAGCCCAGGGCCTCTGGCCCGGAGGAGGGAGAGGGGGTGGCAGTGAGCAGCTCGTGTCCTCCTCTAAATGATGTGACACCGTCGGGGACACATCGTGTCCTTGGCTATGCAATTCAAGCCCCGCCGGCAAGGGCAGATGAAGTTGAAGGCTCCCTTGGTCTGCGGGGTTGGACACGAGAGGGGGCAGTCATCAGCGTGCAGGAAGCAAAGGGACTTGGGCTTCCCGGGGATGCAGAGTGAGAGCACAGGTGCTGGAGGGAGACAGACCTGGGGTCTCTGGCCCAGTCTTCTACCTGCGGGACCTGAGGCATGGTAAGGGGCTTCTCTGGCTCAGTTTCCCCATCTCTCAAATGGGGATAATGCCAGTAACCTGCTGTGAGGGTACATGAGGTAAAGTTGATCCCATAAAAAGTGCAGCAGCTGGGGCCAGAGCTGGGGCATAGCGAGTGAAGCTACCGCCTGCAGTGCCGGCAACCCACATGGACGCTGGTTCGAGACCCAGCTGCTCCACTTCTGATCCAGCTCTCTGCTATGGCCTGGGAAAGCAGTAGAAGATGGCCCAAGTGCTTGGGCCCCTGCACCCATGTGGCAGAGCCAGAAGAAGCTCCTAGCTCCTGGCTTCAGATGGGCACAGCTCCGGCCATTGCGACCATCTGGGGAGTGAACCAGCAGATGGAAGACTTCTCTCTCTCTCTCTGCAACTCTGCCTTTCATAAATAAATAAATCTTAAAAAAAAAAAAAAAGGTGCACCAGCTGCCTCAGCTGTGGGGTCAGGCCGCCGCAGGGGCCCGGCTGGTTTCTTGGGGCCCTGGCAGCTCCCCAGATGGAGGCACAGAGGCTGAGTCCGCCCTCCCAAGAAAGGTCTGGGCCTGGGGCCAGACAAGCAAGGACAAGACCTTCTGCTCCCTGCTAGTGACGGCCACACTTAATAGCACATGGCCATGGCCAAAGCCCAGGTGCCCTTCCCAGCAACCTGGCAGGGCAGGTACTTTAGCTGCCCTTGACAGATGAGGCAACCAAGGCTTGGAGCGTGGAGACGACCCATCTGCAGTCCCAAAGACAGGGACAGAAAAGCCTGCCTTTCCAGTGTAGTGCTGTGGTCCTGCCCCTGCTGGTCACCATGGCAGGGGACAGGGAGGGGAGGGGCCAGGCCTTTTCCCACCCACCTTGCTTCAAGGATGTGAGGGTAGAGACATGCCTGCATTCTACAAGCACAAACTGAGCACCTGCTATGTGCAGGCACTATGTAAGCAAATATGATGCAGTCAATCCCTGCTTTTGTAGGAGCTCCCACCACCAGGGAGGCAGACACAGCGAGAAGACACAGCTCTGCTCGGAGCGTGGGGACTCCGAGCAGGGAAGGCGTCTCGGAGGAGGTGGCTGAGGTGCCACTGCAGGACAAGCAGGAGTTTGTGGGGTGGAGAAGGGGAAAGGCACACGAGGACAGAGGATTCGAGCGAACGTTCCCCCACCTTCCCCGCTCACCTGGGGCAAGCACACGTTGTTGAGCCTGGCCTTGGGGGCACAGAAGTTCCCACCAGTGTCCAATTCCATGAGGCAACAGTTGCTGAAACACTCGGTGTGGTGTGAGCACCTGACCCTATTTGCCTGTGGGGACAGGAGGGGTGTCTGCCAGGCTGGGGATGGCTCCCGAGTCACCAGGTCTTTTGCCGGGAGGGCTCTGGGCACCGACAGAGAACCCAGAGGTCGAGGGAGAGAAGCCATGAGACTGTCACCGCCACATGCCCCCGCAGGACTCGGGAGCAGGCGAGAGGAAGATCAAGCGTTAGCACCCTTGCTTTCCTGGGGCCCCCTCATCTCTGCGGGTCTCAAAGGGTGACCTGGACCAGGGGTGGGAGTGGGGCAAATATGCTGGCTCTAACTTTAGTTGGGGGTGGACAGACTGAGAGGAAGTGAGAAAGGGGGAAGGGAGGAGCCACTGTGTTGGAAGGGTCACCAGGCAGTAGGGTGGGGGAGGGGAACCAGTGCAGATAGGGGATGGTGGGGAGAGTGGCTGGGGATACCTGTGGGGGGGGGTGGCTGGGAGTACCCGTTGGGGGTGGCTGGGGGTCCTTGGGAGGTGGTGGCTGGGGGTGCCTGTGGGAGAGGAAGTGAGCCCAGGACTGAGCCAGGGTGGGGTGCTGGGATCGTGTGGGTCATAACAGTTTCCCTTGCTTCCAAGATCACCAGGTAACACGGAGCTTTGAAGTCCTTTTGGGAGCCCCCACTTCCAAGCTTCCAGCCTGGGCACAAGTACCAAATTTGGGGAAGGTTCCTGCTACCCCCACCTCTCTCCCTGGCTCGGTGGGCCTCCCCGAACTGGAGCACAGACCACCGCCCTCTCTGTCCAGCAGAGGGCGCACGCTCTCGTCTCACCTTTTTTGACTTGGAGAGCTCTCCGCAGCAAAGTAGCAGGATGTTCATCAGCAGCACCAAGGCTGTGGCCATGGGCTTGGGTGGCCGCTGGGAGCCTGGCTGCCGCTTTAACCCCCTCCCCCACCTCGTGACCTGGCGCCCGGGCCGCTCGTGTGGAGAGGGCGGGGGAGGGCGACAGGTAATGGTCACAGAGTGCCCTGCCCGGCTGAGCCTCAGCAGCTGTGGGAGGGGCAGGCATGGGATGAGCAAAGGCCTGGAGCAGGATTTCACATGGATGTGTGGCTTCCAAACACAGTAAAACTGTGTCTAACAATCACACCACATGCTGACCTCAGAAGAGCTACCCTCCTGCTGTTCCAGCACCAAGTCGCCCAGCTGTCTTTGGTAAACCCAGAGCCCCCCTCTGCATGGGGCAGGGGGCAGGGGGCAGGGGCCAAGGTGACTTCTCCAGCCTAGAGCCTTCCCACTGAAATGGCTCCCTGCATGGTCTGGGGCGCTGTGAATCCTAGGAGAAGCGGGGGGGGGGGGTGGCTAATGGAGGGGCAGGAGTTGAGGGCAGCTGCATGCAGCCGATGGTGAAATGAGGGACACAGGTCTTGGCCGTGGTGTTGTGGTCTTCTCATCCTTGAGTGGGGGAGGGGAACTCACCTGAACCCTGGGTCACACATTTGTGACTTGGTGACCCTCCCTGCATATGGACTGCCCCAAGGTTTTGTGGCTTTACACTTCCTTCATTTTTTTTAAAGGTTTATTTATTTGGGGCTGGGCCGGCATCCCATATGGGCACTAGTGTGGGTCCCAGCTGCTCCACTTCTGATCCAGCTCCCTGCTAATGCACCTGGGAAAGCAGTAAAGATGGTCCAGGTGCTTGGATCCCTCTATCCACGTGGGAGACCCACAAGAAGCTCCTGACTCCTGGCTTTGGCCTGGGCCAGCCTTGGCTGTAGCGGCCATCTGGGGAGTGAACCACAGGATGGGAGCTGTCTGTCTTTCCTTCTCTCTCTCTGCCTTTCAAATAAACCAATCTTAAAAAAAAAAAAAAAAAAAAAAAGAGATTCACCTTCCATAGCCTTGGCAGTTCATGGCAAGAGCCTGGAGTGATCACTGACGTCATAAATAAGAGTGTCAATTGTTAAATGAACAACAGGAATCACTGTGCACTTGCTCCCCATGTAGGACCTCTGTCCTTATTGAATTGTACTATGAGAATTAACTGCAAAACTTGTTCTCAAACAGTACTTTATGTGTTGTGTATGTGTGTGGGTGCAAACTGTTGAAATCTTTACTTAGTATAGAGTTGGTCTTCTGTATATAAAGTTAATTAAAAATGAATCTTAATGAAGAATGGGATGGGAGAGGGAGTAGGAGGTGGGACGGGAGTGGGGGTGGGAGGGTGGGTATGGGGGGAAGAATCGCTATATTCCTGAAGTTGTACATATGAAATTTGTATTCATTAAATAAAAGCTCTAAAAAATATTTTTTAAAAGATTCACTCATTTGAAAGGCAGAGGTACAGAGAGAGAGAGAGGGAAAGAAAGAGAGAGAGAGAAGGACATTTGTTACCTAGCAACAGGTAACTAATACGTGGCCCCCCCTTCCATTGCCATCAGCCCGGGGCTAGCCTGTGCTCCTGGGAGTAGGCTCTTCCTTCAAGGCCTTGGTTAGCAGTCAGATGTGTCCTTCTGCCAAAGAGAACCAGGTTTACAAGTACAGGCTTTACTTTGCCAAATGAGAGGTTGGGCTCAGAGGTGCTGTAGGAAGCACCAGAAGCTGGCGTAGCTGAAGGAAGAGCTTGGCTGGGGCCGTCGCCGTGGTGCAGTAGGTTAATCCTCCGCCTGTGGCACTGGCGTCCTACGTGGGTGCCGGTTCTAGTCCCGGCTGCTCCTCTTCCAGTCCAGCTCTCTGCTGTGGCCCAGGAGGGCAACGGAGGATGGCCCAAGTCCTTGGGCCCCTGCACCCGCATGGGAGACCCTGAAGAAGCTCCTGGCTTCCGGCTTCGGATAGGCACAGCTCCAGCCATCGCAGGCATCTGGGGAGTGAACCAGCAGAAGGAAGACCTCTTCTTCTCACTGTCAAAAAGAGCTGGGTTTCAGGGGCATGTGGTCCACACCGGAAGATGCCCTCTGTGGCGAGGAGCCGGAGGCCGCTCTGAGCAGGGGTGGTGGTGCCGAAAGTGTGGAGGCCAAACCGCACAAGGCATGCTTAGGGCAGCCAGGACTAGTTTGTTCCAGTTTGGCTGGAGCAGAGATCAGCTTGCACAGCCTGTGAGTTGGAGCCCGTGTCCATTTTCATGGGGCTCAGGCCAAAAAAATGTGAGAGAACAAAAGCCGGAGACTAGGAGGTTCTCACCTCCTTCTGCCCCAGGCCACTCTTGTGACCTTGAGCCAGTGGCTTGTCCTCTTCGGGGCTGTTGTCCTTCCTGTAAGTGCCAGGACTCCTCCTGGACTAGACCTAGCCTTTCAAATCCTGCCTCCACAGAGCACAGGGCTCCGCAGCTGGGCCGACATGCTCTGCTCCCCAACCCCAGTAACCATGGGGCTACTCCATGTAGCTCCAGTTTTTTAAATTAAATATTTATTTTTATTTGAAAGGCAGGGCGTCAGAGAGAGGGAAAGAGAGAAAGAGATCTTCTATCTGCTTGTTCACTCCCCAAATGGCCATGATGGTCAGGGCTGGGTCAGGCTGGAGCCAGGAGCCAGGAGCTTCATCCAGGTCTCTCATGTGGGTGCAGGAGCCCAAGGACTTGAGCCATCTTCTGTTGCTTTCCCAGGTGCATTAGCAGGAAGCTGGATCAGAAGTGGAGCAGCTGGGACTCGAACTGGTGTTGCAGGCGGCAGCTTTCCTGGCTCCGCTACAGCGCCAGCCCCCAGTGAAACTTTTAAGAGCCACTACCCACCACCACATTTGCTTTTTCTGCTCTAAAAGTGACAGAAACATGGGAAAGGAGCCTCCCTGAGTGTGGGACCCTGGGAAAGGATGCTGTGATGCAGGCATCCGCCCTTCCAGCCTTCCAGCCGAGCCGCAAGGGCATGCAGCGTGAGTGGGGGTAACCTCTGTCATTTTCCAGCCATTGAGGCTAGGGGCCAGTTACTGTGCCATAGCCCAGCCTGTGCTGACCGGTCCAATCTGCTCCTGCCTCTGCTGGTTATATTGGGTCTCAGTGCCCACACCTGCCTTCTCCCATCTCCCTGGCAGCACTGGCTTGCAACGCAGCAGGAGAGGAAGGGGGTCAATGCCCCCCCCAAGAAGTGGGGATGTGTCTTAGAAGATGCTGTGGGGCCGGGGTAACACTGAATGAAATCCGCACCCAGCCCTGAAGGCCACAGACACTAAAGCTGTAGGGAGCATCAACCTTCTCTCTCTCATAGTCATTTAATGGTTCTCCTTAATGCTATTCCGCGCTTTTAAAGTAGGAACGGGTCGGAGGGCAGGAGGAGGGCCGGACTCCCAAGTCCTGGGGGCATTGCAGGCTGACTATGACCTTGCAGGCCTGGATCTGGACCTCCTCGTCAGGGTGGATGACCAGGGCGAGCAGCCGGTCTGCCAGGCGAGACTCCTCCCCAAACAGGGCTTCGTGCAGGGACTGCTCGTTGTAATGCCACTTCACAGCGCGGTAGTGGGGGGAGTTCCGGCCCTCACTCAGCCGCTCGGCAAACACCAGCACCTCGAACAGCAGACTCCCCGGCTGCGAGGACTGGAACAGCTTCAGGAAGTCACAGTGCACCTGTGATGGGCATGGAGAGAGGGGAATGAAATCCCAGGCAACTTCTCAAACTCTCCTCCTTCCATTTGCCTGTGGCCTCAGCTCCCCGAAACACCCAAGTTTCAGACTCAACTGAATTTTTTTAGTTTTTCTTTCACGCTTGTTCTCTAATTAATTGCATCGTGATCATTAAACATGAGTGATACAATGATATTGGTTCTCGGAAGTTTGTTGAGACAAACTTTAAGGCTTAGTGTGTGGTTAATTTTCATAAATATTGTGTGTATGCTTGAGAGGAATGCACACCTGATAACTGTAGAGTGCTATAAGTATGCCTAATGCCTCCAATTTGTTTGTATCATGCACAGCAAGTATGCCACTACTCATTTTAGTTTTTTATCCATCAATTGCTGAGCAAGTAATTAAAATCTTCCAAATATCCCACTGTGGGGGTAGAATTGTTAATTTCTCCTTATAATTTTATCAAGCCTTGCCATGTGTATTTTTGAAATTGTTATTAGGTGCATACAGGTTTTCGGTTGCTTCTGGTGAACTAAACTGCTGATTAGTGAATAGTAACACTTCCTATCCCTAATAATGCTTTTTGCCATATCATTTTCCCCCTAATACTAACATGCTTCCATTAACTTATGCTTGATCACCAGTGTTCCTAACTCTCAGAGTTCAGAAAGCCCCCCAAAGAGCATTCTTCCCAGGAAAACGGACTCCCCTTCTGTTGGGGGAATGGAGGAGGGATGGGGCTTTCCAGGCACTGAGGGCAGAGAAAGGAGGAAGAGAGAGACCAGTCGTCAGGGGCAGGCGTGCTGGAAGAAGCCGGGATTCTTGCCTTGCCGGCACCTGAGCCCCTCTGCAGTCCCTTTCTCACCTGGCAGTTGAGAATGTCATAAAGGAGGTCATTCTTCTGCGCCATGTAGCTCAGCAGCCGAATGACTTGCACCTGAAGAAAGGAAGGGGGAAAGCAGGAGAAGCCGGGGGAGCCCGGGCCTTAGGGACGTCCCTCTCCGGGCTGTGTCAGGGCTGGGCAGGAGGGCAAGGCCTTGGCTGTGAGCCCCAGGCACCTGGGACAAGATGCAGTCCGACTGCAGGATCTCCATCAGGGCGGGCATCACGCGTCGCAGCTGCGGGTGCACGTAGTCAGGCAGCGGGAGGTTGTTGAGGAGCCGCAGGCCAGCAACGTGCAGCTCTATGTCCCAGATGGTAGAGATGAGCTCCAGCACCTTGATGGCATGTTCCTGGCGTGGGCGTGGAGGGACAAGGGGCTGCAGCCTGCCCTCGCAGCCGCCACCTAACCCACAATATTAAATGCTACCCAAACGCCGATAACTCTCCAGTTCGCGTCTCCTGCTCAGGCCTCTCCCCAGACTCCAGACACATAGATACAGCTGCCAATTCCACTTTTCTCCCTGAATGTCTAACAGAACAACCAGCTGCTCAGGCCACACATCTGTGATACCTCTGACTCAGTTCTTTGTTTTAAAGATTTATTTATTTGAAAGGCAAAGTTACAGAGGCAGGGGGTGGGGAACCTAGCGAAAGAGATCTTCCATCTACTTGTTCATTCCCCAAATGGACGTAACAGCCAGGGCTGGGCCAGGCCAAAACCAGGAGCCAGGAACTCCATCCGGGTCTCCCACGTGAGTGGCAGGGTCCAAGTACTTGGGCCAGCATCCGTGGCTTCCCAGGTGCATTAGCAGGGAGCCAGACCAGAAGCACAGCAGCCAGGACTCCAACCAGTGGAGATACAGGATGCCGGTATTGCAAGTCGTGGCTTAACCCACTGTGCCACAATGCCAGCCCCAAATATTTTAAACTTTAAGGAAGCGCAATTTATTAATTTCTTCCCTTATAGACTATGCTTTTGGTGCCAAAACTCTACACCGAGCCTGAAGTCCCAAGAGATTTGCCGCACCCCACCCCCACCCCCACCCCGAGCTGGCCTTCCCCGCCCCTCCCTCTCCTTATTTCCCTGTGTGACCCTCACCCCATGGCAGATACCACATATTTCACTCTTGTGTGTTGTTTGCCTCGCCCTGTTAGAACACACATTCTACAAGGACAGGGATCCTTTCTCTCCGGTGCCTTAGAACCATGCCTTGGGACAAAGTGCTCAATACATGTTTGTTGACTGAAAAAAGGGATCCTGGGTTCAGGGCTGCACAATGCTTGGACGGGAGGGGTTTACGGAAGAAGACGGGGAAGGTCACAGGCTGTGCTCCTGTGAGCCACGTAAGAGGGAAGCGGGAATGCTGGCAAGCAGCCCACGGGCGCCCTGCTCTTCCCTGCCCGCGTCCCTCGCTGTCTGCGGAGCACTGGAGAGGCACGGAGGAGTGGGCGGTCTGCGGCAGGGTTTCGGGGAGAAGGCACCACAGGTGCGAGGGCCACAGCGCCGGCCAGCAGGAAGCGTACAGCGTGACCCGCTTGGATTAAAGCCTGAGTTTCACGCCCAGGGCCTCGAGAAGACGGAACGTGGGACGGATGGGGACAGGGCCCCCTGAGGAAAAAGGGGTCTAACCTAGGGGATTGGGGATGAGCTCCGTACCGGGTGCAGCAGCTGGCCCTGGGGAAGAAGTCAGCGGAGTCCCAGGCTGCAGAGACCCAGGCGAGCCCATGGGGTGAAAACTGAGACGGGGAGGAGCTACTTGCACTTGGGGATGGAGCAGCAGCCCCAGGCACAGTGGGCAAAGAGCAGCAGCAGGGCCCAGCCCGCTGGCATCAGAATCTCCGGGGCGGGGCGGGGGGGGGTGTGAGAAACGCAGCTCCTTGTTGAATAGCACGAAGGGAGGGAGGGAGGGGGTGCGACCCCAGCCTTAGGGAAGCTGGGGAGACCAAGGCATGAGGCAGGGGACAGGCACAGCAGCAGGCAGTGACACTGAGACTTCTTTTTCCCCCAAAAACGTTTGCTGCAGAAATATAAAGGTTTGCCGTCATCCAGTGCTGGTGAGGGCAGGAGACAGGCACATCCTGCAGGGCGGGTGGGTGTGTAAACTGATGCGAGTCTTCTGGCCAAGTTCATGCACACCCTACTGACGCTCTCCCTGGGAGATGACCGCAGGAAGGCGGCACCGCCTGTGAAGCCACTGCTTGGAATGCCTGCATCCTGCCCGCAACCCATTTGAATCCCGGCTTCTGATCCAGCTCCTTACTAATGCACCTGGAAAAGTGGCAGAAGATGGCCCGAGTCCTTGGGCCTCTGCCACCCACATGGGTGCCACTCATGTGGGAGACCTGGATGGAGTGCCAGGCTCCTGGCTTCAGCCTGGCCTAGCCTGGCTGAAGGGGTCACTGGAGACTGAACTAGCAGATAGAAGATCTCTCTCTCTCTTTCTTTCTCATGCTCTTTCAAATAAATCAATCTCAGGTCAAACATCACAATTGGATTTACTTAATGGTCCCCTTTAGATCACACCAGGGTTTATGCTGATGAGGTGACTCTTGGTGGGCATTTAGCCTAGGGACTAAGATGCCCGCATCCCACATCAGCCTATAGGATTCAACTGCTGGCTCCGGCCTTCGATTCCAGCCTCCTGCCAGTGCTGGTTCCTTCCTCCCACATTAGAGATCTGGGTTGTCTTCCTGGCTTCCGCTTCCGCCTGTCCAGCACAGCCCCAGCTACTGTGGGCATCTGGGGAGTGAAGCAGTGCGTGGAAATGCTCTCTCTCTCTCTGTCTCTCTCTCCACATCTCAAATACAAGACGAGTGGGGGTCAGAGAGCTTGTGGGTTGCTGCCTGCATGGAGGGCCTGGGGGAGGGCAGGGGAGCCCCACCCCCACCTGGCACTGTCCAGAGCAGTGCCATTTGTAATAAACTGGGAAGCAGAGGTGTTTTCCCGTGGGTCACGTTAGAGAATTTTCAAACCTGAAAAGAGTTGTGGGAACTCCTGAGCGTCTAGCTGGGTGGGCAGAGGCCACACGTGTGCCTAGCATCTCCGGACGGGGCAGTCTTGGGGGGCTTGAGCTCTTAACGAGTGACATCCGCACTCCACGCCTGAACAGAGCTGAACTGTGGGACATGCAGCTGGTGTCTGGGCTTCCTGCTTTTTGGGTTCAGAGATGCCACTGGGGGCCTGGCTCGGCTTCGCCCTGCGATTCAAAGGCTTTCACAACCCTGCCGGGACCCTCACCACCGTTTCCGCACTCATTTTTGGGATTCCAAACTCAGGCCAAAGAAAATTCTGGAACATGACCATTGATTCTGTGTCAATCAACAAACCCAACGACTAGGACAGCACCTGTGTGTCCCGCCCCACTGCCACCAGCCTCCGGGCGCACCTGGATTTTCAGCCTGAATTTTCTGATGCCAGAGAAAGCTTTAAGTGTGTTCAGAGCTTGGATTTTGACACTGTTGTCCTCGTCGTCCAGCATGTCACCCACCAACCTGATGTCATCAGTAGTACAAGAGGCAGCCTGGGGTATGTGAGGAGAGATGGAAGGGGCATGAGACTACAAGTCCCAGGCCCACTGCCCTCCGTGTCACCAAGAACCCTTGGCACGCCCCTCCCACCACTGGCCCCAGAGGGCCAGTTCCCGGGACTCGATGCAATCAAGGGGCAGGGATGAGCGGGCGCCCCGGGGAACAGGCTGGCTCGGAGGGCCCTCACCTCCGCCTCCAGCAGGTACACACAGCGCGTGATGCTGTGCAGGATCATGCTCTTGGCGTACTCGTCCTGCTTGTACTCCAAAGACCTGAGCAGCCTCCGGAGCTCGCCCGAGTCCCGCCCGTGCCGCTCTCGCTCGATGGCCAGGCCTAGACAGCCACCCCAGCCCAGTTCAGGCTGCGGACTCACAGCAGGTGACGGAGTGGGTTTGGGAAGTGGGAGAGAGCCATCTGGGGACACGGCTGCCTTGTCTTTCCTGAGGAAGCACCCTAGTGTGTGCTGGGCAAGGGCGCCCTATCTGGTGTTGTACTGTCCATATCATCACGTCATAGATCTGTCTGCAGGAACACAAGCCGTTTATTGTAACCACTCCACTGCCAAAAGCAGCAGCGAGTGTGGCAGAAGGGACACTTTTTCCTGCTGTGCACAACAGTGCCACATGGGTTAGAGGAAGCCCTGGGCATCTAGGTGCCCCGATTTCCCCTTTTATTCAAGTCCTGAGCTCCCGGGACCAGGAAAGGGAGGGAGACAGCAGCTGCATTTCTGAGAAGTGGAACTCTCAGAGGGTGAATCTAGCATTTGCATGTGGCGAGGGGGTGTGCAAGCAGGGACCCTGAACTAGCACCTCTGGTGGGGCCTTGCCTGGGGTACGGGAGGGTGGGCCTGAGGAAGATAGAGAAGAGAGAGAGGGAGGAGAGAAGAACTTGGACGAGTCACCTTCGGGCATTCCCACAGGGGAGGCCTCGGGAGCAGGTGCCTCCTGGGGCAGAGCCCTCTCCCCAGGGCCCGGACACTCACGGGCGATGCAGATGGGTGAGTTGGTGCAGAGGGGTGGTTGGCATTTTATGCCGGCCTTGATGGCCTTGTAGAGCAGGTAGATGGCCCCGGCGCCCGTGGCCAGGCTCACTACACTTTTGCGGATGTCCAGCTGCGCCAGGCACCGGGGGATGCTCTTGCCCATGTCCTCAGCGTTGCTTTGTGCCTGGGTGAGAGCTAAGCCCGAGGCACCTGGGAGGCAGCTTCCGGAACCAGAACTCTGACTGGGTCAGGAACCACGGTACCAGAATCTGGAACCCAGGCAACAAAGGCAACTGGGGAGATGATGACGTGGAGGGCGGCAGTCAGGAAATGGCGCGGCCAGAGGTGCTTGAAAGGACACAAGGTCCTTCTGAGGCTCCCTTTTGAGGCTGCCGGAGACTTCGGGGACAACACAACACACAGCCTGTCTTTAGGGAAGCCAGGTTGGTGGGACCTGGGGAGGAAGGATCAGCACCTGCCTCCTTCCAGTAGAGGGCAGCAGAGGCCCATTTCTGTGCTTGAGGCCTCTGGGCATTTCTGGGCCGGGTGTCTGGGTGGCTGGCTCCCTTGGCTCCCTGGCCCTGTCTGTCTTGATCTTCCCACTCTGCAACTACTCCTGGGCCTCCACCACCTCTGCACCGGAGGGTGCAAAGGAGAGGGGCGCCTTACGGAGCGCTTCGGTCTCGTGGCCAGTCTGTCCGTTGACAGCATTTGCGTGAGGTCTGAGCAGAAGCCCTGGAGGGCAGCTGTGGGCATCCAGCGTGGACTCCTGCACCTAGCTGGGCTCAAGTGGCATCCTGCCGTACCCTGAGGACTTGGGGACAGAACAATGAGTCTGGAAAATGGGGCTCCAGGCCCACTTAACCCTAACCGGGAAGGAGGAAGGGGCTGCCCTTGTGGGGGTCTTGCTTTCTGTCTCCTAAAGCTCCAAGATGAAAGTGTGGTGGGTCTGGACCTTTTGGTCACTGGGGCCTAGAACTGGGAATCCCACCTCCCAGCCTCCACACTGGTGGGAAGGGGCTGGACTCAGAAAATGCCTCTACCCAGAGGGTGGGAGCCCAGCTGCGCCGGCTTTGATCTTTCCCACCAGGATGTGGCAGGGGAGACCAGATACGCCCATCCTGACCCCAGCAGTCCCCCACACCCTCTGGCACAGAACAGCGAGGTGACCAGCCCCCAGCTAGGGTCAGGCCTGTAGCCTTTGCTGAACATGGCTGCTTGGGGTCCTGGGCTGCACCTGGGCTGCAGCGAGGTGGGGAGGCAGCCCCCACAGGTGCTGCAGCCAGCCAGGCCTGCCTGCTCAAAGCCATCACCACATCCTAGGCTTCAGACAGGGGCTAGCGGGAGCTCCTGGGTCGCCAGTCTCTTCCTGTCCTCTCTGCCATCCTGAGCCCTCTGCAAAGGTCATTCCTGGCCCTCTGCCCAGCCCTGGGGGTGTGGGGGGGGCTCCCTATCTCCAGGGGAGAGCAGAGGCCTGCAGAAGCCTCCCGACCACCATGGGACCCGCACAGCACAGCTCAGGAACTCCATACAGGAAATGGGTGCCTGATAGCGACTGTCATGTTTTGGTTTCCAGGCCACCTAGATCTGAGGACAGAGTCCTCAGGACAAACTCCCTCCATGATAGGACCCAGAATTACTGCTTCCTCCATTCCACGGAGTGGATTCTGCAACCTTCACATCTGAAGCAAAACAAACATGATACTCACTTGTTCCGGTTTTTTTCAAAGATTGATTTTATAGGGCCAGTGCTGTGGGGTAGTAGGTTAAGGCTTTGCCTGCAGTGCAAGCATCCCATATAGGCACTGGTTCGAGTCCCAGCTGCTCCTCTTCCCATCCAGCTCTCTGCTAATGGCCTGTGAAAGCAGCAAAGAATGACCAAAGTGCTTGGGCCCCTGCACCCACAGGGGAGACCTGGAAGAAGCTCCTGGCTCCCAGCTCCTGGCTTCAAATCGGCCCAGTTCTGGCTGTTGGGACTATTTGGGGAGTGAACCAGCAGGTGGAGGACCTTTCTCTCTGTCTCTTCCTCTCTCTAAAATAAATATATATAAATTTTAAAAAATATATATATTTGCAAGGCAGAGTGACAGTGGGGACGGGAGGAGAGATCTCTCATCTGCTGGTCCACTTCCCCAAATTCTCACAGCAGCTAGGTCTGGGCCAGGTCAGCAGGGAACCCAGCAGGCTAGCAGGGAGCTGGATCAGAAGCCCAGAAGCAACTACTCAAGCTGCTGCACTGATACGGATACCAGCACGGCAACCAGTGGCTTAACCATGGGTCGCCAGGACGATGGGCGGCTCACTTGTGCTTAAAGATCAGCTGCCGCCAGGGTGCTCGGCTCCTCCGAGGAAACTAAGGCTGTGCTGGGGTGAGGCCCTCACTTCATCCGGCGACTAGCACTCCGCCGGGCAGCGCCAGCGCCGCCAGCCCCGCACTCGTGAGCACCATGGCCTCTGTCTCTGAGCTCGCCTGCATCTACTCCACTCTCATCCTGCACAAGGACGAAGTGACCGTCACTGAGGATGAGCTCAATGCCCTCATTAAAGCAGCCGGGGTCAGTGCCGAGCCCTTTTGGCCTGTCTTGTTCACAAAGGCCCTGGCCAGGGTCAACACTGGGAGCCTCAGCTCAGCGTAGGGGCTGGGGCACCTGCTCCAGCAGCTGGTGCCGCCCCAGCAGGAGGCCCCGCCACCACTGCTGCTGAGACGAAAGCAGAAGCAGAGAAACAAGACTCTGAGGAGTCTGATGACGTGGGCTTGGGTCTTCATGACTAAGGATTTTCTTGTTCAAAAAAAAAATCACCAAGCAGCGTGGGTTCTGGCCTGCACCAGCCTTCTCTTGCCAGATCATCTCCCTGATCTGCCTCCACTGATGCAGAGGGCTCAGAGGCAGTCACCCCAGGGCAGCATTCTCCACGGGCCGCAGTCCGGTGAAAAATAAGACAGAGGAACACCTACCTGTCAGCGTAAAGTCAACGACAACCCTCCCTCGGGAATGCCCAGTTTCCATTCAGACACAGCCGTCCCTATTTTGAGAATTACCATGTGTTTTCTGGGGCCCACGCTGTGGTGTAGTAGGCTAAGCCTCCACCTGAGGTGCCCACTAGGGTGCCGGTTCAAGTCCCAGCTGCTCCACTTCTGATCCAGCTCTCTGTTATGGCCTGGGAAAGCTGTAGAAGACGGCCCAAGTGCTTGGGCCCCTGCATCTGCATGGGAGACCCAGAGGAAGCTCCTGGCTCCTGGCTTTGGATCAGCCCAGCTCTGACCACTGTAGCCACTTGGGGAGTGAACCAGCAGATGGAAGACCTCTGTCTCTGCACTTTCACCTCTCATATAAATGAAATAAAAAACTTTTTAAAAACTGTGTTTTCTTTGATTAAACATTGGTGATAAACAGACAGCAGGTGTGCTCTGAATGTTATTCTGGAAGATAAATTCACAGCTGGGACTCTTTACAGAGCCTGGCTTTTCTCTATTTCCTTGTTTGTTGCTTTTCTATCAGATCCAGAATCTGCAACAACTGACCAGAACCAAAATGCAAACAGCACAGAAGAGGCTATGGCCACCAGCTCGGCCCCTGGTCCCCCTGCCAGCCCTCACCTTCAAGCCTGATTGATGTTACGTGTCGCCAAGGGCACAGGCTGCCAGGGTTCAGAACCAGTTCAGCCATTGAGAGTTAGCTCTGTGCTAGGAATCTTTGTGCCCCATTCCCCCACCTATAAGACGGGAATACTAAAAAGACCTAATTCATGGGGTTGTGTGTGTGTGTATGGGGGGGGTGGATTGAGTAAAGTACTTGGACCAGCGCCCTGCAAGCAGAGCTCAAGGAACGCGGCGGACCGTCATCACCGCTCGCAGGGCCCACCTCGGCAGGACTGCTGTACGGGAAGGCACAGAAAGCCAGAGCCTGAGCGCACCCCACCGGGAAAGGCACATCACTCAGCCCCTTAGACTCACCCAGCAGCCCTCACCCCGATGATCTGCTGGCTAACCAATCCCAACTCCTGGAACCCATTTAACTACCCGCACTGACTCTGGGGCCTTCCATGAAGCTCCCACAGATACCAAAGCCAGGAACAGCATTCCCCCAAGCCATCCTGCCACCTGTCAGACCCTAAGGCCCCTTCCTCGTCTTCTTCACCGGTGCCCCCGGGGCGGAGGGGTTTCAGTCTATTTAAAGCTCCAGGCGCTATTGGGGTCCACCGTGAGAGCAGTGCAGTGGCCGGCACTGGTGCGCACAGAAGCCAGGGGGAGCTTCGCCTGCTCTGTACTCCAATGAAAAGCCCTCTGGAGTCCACCTGGCTGGGGTTCCAATCCCAGCAGCGCGGGGTTGCAGACTCCACAATCAGCGCCTACAACACCTATCTCTGCTACGCGGAGGTGCTGCTGCAGGAGCGAACCGGAGGACGCGTGCGGCTTCTCCGGATGCACAGGGGATGCTCAAAGCACGCGCGGTTCGTCCGCACAGAGCCGAGAGCCACCAGCGGACCCCGACCGAGGAACCAGATCCGGGAGCCTCCGGTTAGCCAAGGCGTGGAGCTGGGAGAAACCGGGCGAAAGCACGCGGAGCGCAGGGGCGGGCGGGCGAGCGCAAGGGCGGCGCGCGGGGGCGGGCAGAGCCGCACCCCTCCCCGCCGGGCCTCCCCCGCCCGGCGCGCGCATCCGGCGGCGGGCACAGGATGTTCTTTCCTCGCGGCCCCCCCGCCCCCGCTCTCACTTTCTCTCCGCGCCCCTCCCCCGCCGCGCCCGGCGCCGGCACCTTGCTTAACTCCTTCGCCGCCGCGCCCGGGACACTGAGCGAGCCCGAGGGCTGTCTGGCAAGGGCCAGGCCGGGCCGAGCGCGCTGGGCCCAGGTTCTCGGGATGCTGAGGCCGGTCGGGGCCGGAGGGGTGGCGAGGGCTCGCTGGGACAGAGGCCGGCACTCGCGGACCCCCCCGCCCCCGCCAGCTCACCGGGGCCGGGTGAGGTGCCTGGGTGACCAGGTGGGCGTAGCTGGCGTCGGAGCCGCAGGGAGCGAACGGGGTCGAGGGGCTCCTGCCTCATCCTACCCCCAGCTTGGGATAAAGAGGGGCCACGGGCTGCGGGCTGAGGATGGGGGCGGCCACGCCCCCCGCTCACGTCACTATTTCCAAGGCAACCGAGGGAGGGGCCGAGGGAGGGCTAGGGGACCGACCCTGGGGAGCCCCGGCTGCCGGATGCTGTGGAAGCCGGCGGGGGCGGGCTTTTTAATCTTTCCTTCTCCCTCGTTGATGTCCAAGAAATTGAGGGAGGGGCAGCTTCTGTTCCCGAGTTCACTCCGCAAACAT